CTCCCCCATTTCTGAAGAAGGGTCTAGACCCGGAACGTCAGCTTTCCTGCTCCTCTGATGCTGCTTGGCCTGCTGTGTTCATCCAGCTCTACACCTTGTTATCGCAGATTCCCCAGCATCAGCAGTTCCTACTATCTCTATTCATGTACCCATCCAGATGCCTTTTAAATGTTGTAATTGTTCCAGCATCCACCACTTCCTCTTGCACCTCATTCCATACATGCATCACCATCTGTTTGAAAAGATTGCCTCTTAGGTCCCTTTTATATCTTTACCCTCTCACCTTAAACTTATGCCCTCTAGATTTGGACTCCCCTACCCTGCAGAAAAGGACTTGACTATTCACCCTATCCATGCCCCTCATGATTTTATAAACCTCTGTAAGGTCACTCTCTCAGCCTCCGAAGCTCCAGGGAAAATGACCCCAGCCTATTCAGCCTCTTCCTATAGCTCAAACCCTCCAACCCTGGCAACATCCTTGTAAATCTTTTCTGAACCCTTTCAAAATTCACAACATCCTTTCTGTTGCAGGGAGACCAGAAATGAATGCTGTATTCCAAAAGTAGCTTCACCAACGTTCTTCCAGCTTGCGCTGAGCTTTACTGAAGCACTGCAGCAAGCCTGAGTTGGAGATGTTGGCCAGGGAACTCAGTGGTGTGTTGAATCCCACCCTGAACACTACATTTAAAGAGAAAAAAAGTTGTTTCCACCAATGTAGATTTTAGCTTGGAAGTATTGTGGTTCACTTTCAATTTGTAGTCTCCAGTGCAGAATGGATTTTGGGGTGTTAGGCATGCATAATACTGGCCAAACTGTACAAGATGATGAGAGGTATAGATAGAATGGATAGCCAGAGGCTTTTTCCCAGGGCGGAAATGACTACTATGAGGGGGCATAATTTTAAAGTGATTGGAGGAAGGTATAGGGGAGATGTCAGAGGTAGGATCTTGACACAGAGAGTGGAGGGTGTGTGGAATGCGCTGCCAGCAGTGGTAGTGGAGTCAGATACTTTAGAGACTTTTAAGCAACTCTTGGATGGTCACATGGAGGATAGTAAAATGTAGGGTATATTGATCTTAGCAGGATAATAGGTCAGCAGAACATCGTGGGCCGAAGGGCCTATACTGTGCTGTACTGTTCTTTGTTCTGTAATGGAGCCACAGGGAGTAGGTTTTAAGATTATTGGATTAGAGAGATAAAGAGATGATTGATGGTGAGTTTAACCTGAGGGTCACCACACCTCATGCGAGGGGAGAGTATGAGAAGGAGGCTCCTTCATGGTAACCTCAGCCAGTGCAAACATCAAATCCATGCTGTTTGTTTTTCAATTTGATTGTGTGACGTGAGCATCGCTAGCTGGGCCCAGCATTTCTTGCCCGTCTCTAGTTGCCCCTTGAGAAAGTGGTGGGTGAGCTGCCTTCTTGAACTGCAGCAGTCCATGTGCTGTAGGTGGACCCACTATGTTTTCGGGGAACAAGTTCTAGGTTTTTGACTAGTGACAGTGAAGGAATGGCTATATATTTCCAAGCTAGGAAGCTGAGTGTCTTAGAAGGGAACTTGAAAGTGGCAGTGTTCCCATGTACCTGGAGCTCTCTTGTCCTTCTAGATGGAAGTGGTTGTAGGTTTGGAAGGTGCTGTCTAAGGATTTTTGGTGAATTTCTGCAGTGCGTTTTGTAGATAGTACACACTGCTGCTTTTTGAGCATTGTTGATAGAGGGAGCAGATGCTTGTGGATGAGGTGCCAATCAAGCAGGCTGCTTTGTCCTGGATGGTGCCAAGCTTCTTGAGTGTTGTTGGGGCTGCACCCATCCAGGCAAGTGGGGAGCATTCCATCACACTCTTGACTAGTGCCTTATAGATGGTGGACAGGCTTTGAGGAGTCAGGAGGTGAGTTACTCACTGCAGTATTCCGAGTCTCTGACCTGCTTTTGTAGCCACTGTGTTTATGTAGTGAGTCCATTTGAGTTTCTGGTCAATGGTAACCCCAAGGATGCTGATAGTGGGGGTTCATGATGGTTACACTATTAAATGTCAAAGAGCGGTGATTAGATTGCCTCTTTTAGAGATGGCCATTGCCTGGCGCCATGGTGCAGTTAGTTAGTTCAGTTGGCTGGGTAGCTGGTTTGCAATGCAGAGAGGCACCAACAATACAGGCTCAATTCCACTGGCCGAGGTTACCATGAAGGATTCTTCTCTCAACCTCTCCCTTGCTCGAGGTGTGGTGACCCTCAGGTTAAACCGTCATCATTGCTCTCTCTCTAATGAGAGAGGAGACCAATGGTCCTCTGGGATTAGGCTGTCACTACCTTACTTTTACTCAGATCCCCCTACAACCCAGTGCCAGGGCTTGGTTTAACTAAGAGCTCCATGGAAGAAATTGAGAAAATCGGTGGATCTGTTTTTTTACATTAAACTTTCTTTCAATGAGGAGCTGGAGCTACAAAATCTTGTCTATTCAACCAAAACCTGTTGCAATAAATGGAAAATCAAGAGATAATGAACAGTTTTGACAGGATGGTGGATAGGCTCTTGAGTGAAATGAGCTCGTGAGCTGAAGAATGGAACCGTGGAGATTGGAATAATTCTTCCTCAGAGAGCCAGTATTGATTAAATGGGCCCAATGGCTATCTTCTATTATGAAGGTCACTTTGCCATTGGGGCAATAGGACTATAATTTCCTGATTAAATGGAACTTCATTTTCTTTTCAAAAAATGCTTTATTCATAAAATTTATAAAAGTGCATCTAATGACCATTCCAAGTTGACATTACAGAGGCTCAAACTAAACAACATCATAGTTCCAAGTACTCACCCATGCTCTAAGTTCATCCGCCTTATTTCTGATACTTCCAGCATTGAAGTGTACACACTTCAAACTATCCCTGTGTCCACAATTACATTCCATCGTGTGCATTTCTTTATTAACAACCTCACTCCCAGTTGTGTCTGTTGGAAGGCTGAATACCTCATCCTCTGAATTACAAATCTGGTTCCCCACCCCCCGCCAATCTAGGAAATCTATCAATCTCTATGTTAAATGTATGCAAAGACTGAGCTTCCACAGCCCACTGTGATAGAGAGTTCCAGAGGTATTGGTATGAGACTAGAGTCACATTTGGGTCCAAACTGGGTCCAAACCGCAGATTTCCTTACATAGAAGGCATTTCGTGAACCAGATCAGTTTTTATGTACAATCTGGCAGTACTCTGTCTGAATTCTAAATCATTGGCTTTAACTTCATCCTGGATAATACTTGAACATTTGGTTCAACTAAAGTACGTGGCTCCTAGGGGAAAATGCAATCTGAATTAAATCAAGTTGAATCTAACATGAGTTAATGGTACAACCAGATATTATTCCAAATAGAAATGGTTTCTTCACATACAAAATACAGGGACTATGTATCAACAGTAAAATATCACTGGCACGTTTATAACATTAGAATTCTTTCTCCTTTACTTGAAAACCCTGGATAAATGTGTTTGTCATGAGCAAGTAGTTCTGTTGCTAAAGCAAATTGTAATGGCCAAAAGAAACCAAGCTCTCCTCATCTTCCTTCCAAAACAGGAAATCAATCTTTTTCATTACCATGGAGAGCTATTGCATGTACAATTGGACCATATCTACGGGTAAAGTCAATATTTTTTTCTACAGTGTGAAACTCGTTCAGCAAGATTTGGGTGTGCTTATATAAGAAATGTAGAAATTTAGCATGTAGATGAAGCGAGTGTATGAGGGTAAATTATGCAATTTTTAAGAGCATTTTAGGGGATGTGAGCATGATGGAAAGGTTCAGGACAGCTATTCCAAAACCTGGGAACACTGGCAACTGAAGAAATGCAGTGCATCCTGTAGATAGCACACACTGCTGCTAATGAGTGTCAGGGGTAAATATTTGTGGGTGTGGTACCACCAAGAGGGCTATTTTGTCCTGGACAGTGTTGAGCTTCTTGAGTGTTGATGCAGCTACACTCATCCAGGCAAGTGGGGAGTATTCCATCACACTCCTGGCTTGTGTCTTGTAGATGGTGGACAGGCTTTGGGGAATTGGAAGGAGAGTTACATGTTACAAAATTCCTAGCCTCTGATGTGTTCATGTAGCCATACCATTTAGAAGGCTGATCCCATTCAGTTTCTGGTTAAAGGGTGTGCATGGTCAGTGGTAGAGGAATTAATATCAACAATGGGCAATAGGTCAAAATTGAAACAGTGTTTGTCATGGG